TATATATATTTCAACAAATTTACTGTCATATACAGATGCTGCATCTATTGAATCCAAAATGTTTTCTCATTGACACACCCCCACTCGTAATTACGATTTTGTGGTGGCGTTCATATACATTCAACTCATAAACACAATATTTTAAACATGACTTGAAAGCACCATTATTCCAGAAGGGAAGCAATTTTCAGATTTGAACTAATGATCAGTGGTACAGCTGTACACACTGTGCATACCATGAGTGTGCCGACTGACCTAAGAAACCCTGCAAATATTTCAGCAGTTATGTGTGTCCCGTATTTCTGTTGACTGAACCAGTGATGAACCAATATTAATTGTTCTTTTAGAGATGGTTCTTTCTTTTTAGTTAAAAACTCCAGGTTTTGTTGTTTATTGTGGTCATTGTTTATTGTTACAGTAGTTCATGTCACTTAATGTTAACAAATATGTTAATAATGTTAATAAATAAATAGGGCAGACTTGACTTTATCAATCAGAATTTAATTTATTTTGTCTCCAGATATGGCTTACATCCCTATGCTTCACACTATTTGAGGTATGAACTGATGAGATGAGCGACCCTGAATGTGAGCAATGAGCAATGTAATAATAACTCTAACTATAGTGTTAAGAAAATTGTTATTTTTAATGACTAAACACGGTATTACACATTTAAAGTTGGAAGTAATAAGAAAACAAACTATTGCATTCAGGTGCATTATTTGTTTTCATTTAATGTGGGATGATTACTGTTGGAGAAAAAAGTAGCGGGTTGAAAATATTAGTGATGGAAGGCATGCATTATAGGAAGCAGCTGCGACAGCCATATTATGTATTGATCGCTCTTGTGCAGCACATTGGGAGCACTTAATTAGATTTATATTGTAAATAGAGACTCACAATACATATTTCTACTCAGCAGATAATGCTATCAAACAAAGTAAATAATATTTGGTTGTGGGAGTGGCTGGTTTGGGACAGGAGAGATTTACTTGTGCTGTTAACAGGGAAAAAGAGATGTCTATTTCTCAGCGCAGTTTCCTACAAGATTTTGTTTTCACAGTGACTAAGATTTACGTGAAAGCATGGCATGGAAAGGTTACCCAGTTACTAGTTTGACCATTCTTTTTAAAAGGAATCGTCTCACAAGTGATTAGTCTATGTGAATCAGACTGCATTGATCCCATTTTATCTTTGTTGCTGCATGTAGTTTTGAAGGACAACAATGCAAGAGTATGTTGCCTTTCTTTAGCGCTTTATAACTGAATCTTTATAACTGAATAATCAGCTGAACTTTGCAACACACTGTTATTGACTTGAATCAACACTGAACTGACTTGAGATTAATCTGAATAAAGCTGAATAAAGACAGTATTTTGTCTTCTGTAAAGCTGCTTTATAGATGAATGGATCTTGTTTCATAAGAGATGATCTTTGCAGCATTGACATTGTAATTGGACGAAATTAAATCAACAGTTAACTAAACTGAGCCGAATAATAACACAATTGTTTTATGTAGAGCTGCTTTAAAGCTGAAATTGAATTTGAATAATTGATGAATTTTACAACATTAACACAGTTATTTTCCTGTGCACTACTATGAAACTACTGTGAAACAATATGTATTGTATAGTGCTATATGAATAAAAAAATATGTGAAATGTTGTCTATTTATTGTCTTTGTATTTTTTGTGGAACCTGGTCTTTCTAATCACAATCAATTTGAATTGCAGGCTCACAACTCAGCTGAAATTAAATTTCTTATGTTGTGGCGCTGTACATTTAGTAATGACGTAGCACCACCACCACCAAAAAAAAAAAAAAAATTGTGACAGTAAACATCCATTTTTTTTTCAGCTGCCCTGGATCAAGGTCCCCCCCCGATACATTTTCTCCACAATTATTTTTTAAAATGGCTTTCTAACAACCAGAGGTAAAGATAAAAGACTGTATACATCATTCACTAACTGAGTTTTAATTTTGTGTACATATGCATTTTATAGTATAAATAGTGTGCATAGTTTGCTAACCCTGAAAATTCTAACAAGAAAAAGTACCACTTTTAAGACTTAAACACTTTTTAAGCCTAAAAAAAAAAAAAAACAAAGTAGAAAGTTGGACAATTCTTGCAAGTGTCGTAAGTACAGTTCACCAAAAAAATGAAAATTCTGTCGCCATTTACTCACCCTCAAGTTGTTCGAAATCTGTTTGAATTTCTCTCTTCTGCTGAACACAAAAATAACATTATAAAATATATGCACTTGGCGTAGTGCATAGTATAAATTTAAAATGAAAAGTGTTGCACTCTATAATGGTGAGAGTCTTAAGTCTAACCGTCTTAGAATGGTTAGATTATTTGTAAAGAATGGATAGATGTATTTCGGATAAATGTATAGATCTTTTTTGTTTTGGCCAAATCAATTGAAGACAATGTTGTTTAATCTGTTGGATCTTACAAAATATACTAAACTACATCATTAGAAGTGTGCAGAACACACACACCTACTCACACAACATAATTAACACATGACCTACTTTGCCTCTCCGTGGAGCATGTTACCTGTTTTGGGGTAATTGTATTAGCCTACAGCATGGGTGCATGGGTGCAAGGGTGTTTCAGATATAATGGCTTGTCCATTCATTCTGAAATCGCCCCTACAGAAAGTACCGCTGTGGTACCAAGTCATGGTGTTGGAATAATACCATGGTATTTTGATAATACACTATTTATATGGTGCTACCTATGAAAGAATAGGAGTGCCACTGAAAGGAATAATTCAACTTACTAATTAGGGAAAAGGTCACACCTTCAAATAAGGTTAATTTGATTAACATTAGTTAATGCATTAGGTCTCACAAACGACCAATCAACAATGTCTTTAAAGCATATATAATTTAGTACTAGTGTATTAATGTTAATGTAGTACTAATATATTATTAATATACACTAATATATTTTGGTAACATATGGACCAATTCTCACTATTAATTAGTTGCTTATTAGCATGTGTATTATCAACATATTGGCTGTAGTCCTTATAAAGCATTTATTCTACATGACCATATTCTACATCCCTAATCCTACCCAATACCTAAATTTATAACTACCTTACTAACTATTAATAAGCAGCAAATTAGGAGTTTGTTGAAGCAAAAGTCATAGTTAATCGTTTGTTAATAGCGAGAATTGGACCTTAAAATAAAGTGTGACCTATATTTTTAACAATGAAGTGTTATAAATTAACATTAGTTAAACAAGAATTAACAAAGTGGGCTGGCCATGCATTCAGGGTGTCCCACCACCTGTGGCCTGAGATGCTGGGATATACTTTTTTGTTTGTTTTACAAGATAAATACAAAAAAATCAATATCAACAACAACAACAATTCTAAATCAATTATTATTGTGTTAATGAAACATTCAAGGGGGGGATGAGTTGTGCCTATTAATAATGTTGCTTTTTTTGCACACTCTTCCTGCATTGTTTTAGCAGGGGAATTATACAAAACAGGAGAATAATGCCACAATACGCCCCCAAAAATCTGTGCTGAATTCAATTTACATGGCAGTTTGCCATTTTTCAGGCCAGTTCTAGGTTGTGAAAAACCACAATCTAGCACACAATTCTGGGACTGTACAGAATCACTTCACCACTGCAATCCAGGCACCTAACTTAAAGTGTGCTCATAAACACAGCATTTCTTGATACATGCTTGTTTATAACACTCTTCTTCATAGCCTGATAAACTACTGCTGTCATGATCAATAAAAAATGTACACAGACATTTATTATTTTTAATATTATTATTATTATTATCATTATTAAATTCAGCACATTTAGCTTTTGGTTAAATTGGATTGCAGTTGCTTAGTGAAAAACAAAAGAGAAAGAAAGAAAGAAAGAAAGAAAGAAAGAAAGAAAGAAAAATAAGTTTTGTGAATTCACCGCTCAGTCTCACAAATCTGAATCAATTCATCATATGTGCCTACAAATGCAGATCGCCACATATCTCTGTCAAACCAGGCATTGTTCATTTTAAATAGAGAAAGAAACATCATGATATTACAATTTTGCTTTAGTATATTTTCACGTATTTAATTTATTCTTAAAATATTTCATAATAAAAAAGTATTTAATGTAAATGAATCCAAGACTTTCTGAACTGTCTCTGGAGGTGTCAAGACTTGGAGGTGAGCACTGTGCAAACAAAAACAAGCGCAAAAAATCTATCCCAGAAAACCCAGATAGAAGGGGTTTTCTCTGAACCTTTACAATACAAAAGCTAAAAGCAGTTTCCATGACTCTGTGTAATACTTGGAACTGAATGTTCGCTTTTCTGCAATAAATCATTTATTTGTGTGTGTGTCTTGTCCATTTTCTTCCTTTTTAAGTACCTGTGGTCATGTTTTTGAACATGTAAAAGGAAAATTGCTACTTGAATTTGAACATAAACAGTAAGACAGGCCTTCGTTATGGAGCAGAGCATTACCCACATTCTATATCTCTCATTTCCACAACGTTATTCATGTTAAATAAGGTTCTCCACAAAGATACAACATATAAAACTGTTAAATATATAACTCGTAGGCCTTTCAAAATACATGTAATGACATATTTCACTCCTGGTAATCAGAAATGGCATTTTTTATGTTCCTTTTTAATATTTTCTGACGATAAGCAATGGGGTACTCTTCCATTTAACCTTCCATGCTTAATGCAAACCATCCAAAATATTGCTACTGAAAAATGCAAATTAAATTTGTTGACGTTTTTATGTGTACAGTATCGATATCCTTGGAATACAGTGGTTAATTCAGTTCAAGGAAATGCCTGTAAAGTACTAAAGGTTCACCTCTGATTGTGATAAATGGGAATGGTTGACCCAGTCGTTTTAATGTTCCACATCAGTGATTCCATTTGTAGACCACTGCTGTATAGCATAGTCTTTTTATATCTATATCTATCTCTCTCTCTACATTTAGGTTTATATATATCATTTCTTTGCCTAAAATTTCCCTTTCAAGTCTATTCTTCAGTCTGCACTCATATAATCAATGCATTTTTTTTTTTGTGTGTATTATTTTTCCTCTTTGGTCTGTAAAAAATGAGCGCCAAAAACATACTCCAGCAGAAAGCTGTTTCACAGAGCAGTTAGGTTCACAGTTTCGGATCAGATCAGAACTGCTGGTGGAGCCCCATAAAGCCTGTGTCTGGTTCAGTCTCAGACAGGGTAGATGCCTCATTGTCCTGTGCTGCGTTCTTAAAGTACTCAAGGCTCCTAATGTACCACCATCCGTGAGGCGCTTTGTGAATGTACAGTATGTCCTCCGTGGCACAAGGGGGTGCTGCCATTACCAAAGCCGAGACACAAACAGACAGGCAGAGGCAGGTGTTAAGCCGATGAGACATAGCAAATATCTACAGCAGGTGGGCGAAGCTGCAAGAGGCCTCATCTCGTAGCGTTCCAGGAACCCCTCGCACTGTTAGGACACCTAGATCAACCAGAAACACACAGGAAATCAAGATCAGTGATGCAGTTCCAGGGGTGTAGCAATAATGTGACTAATGTAGGGTAATGTTTATTTTATTTTATTTTCCATTTTTTTCCCTCTCAGAACCAATAGTTTCGGTAACTGCAAAAGAAGGTGCTTGCAATTTATAAAAGTAATATTAATATATAATAAATATGACGTAGTAAAGTTTTTTTTTTTTGATACTCCACCCAAAAATTAAAATATCATTTACTTACCCTCATGCTATACCAGATGTACGACTTTCTTTGTTCTGTGCAACATAAACTAAGATTTTTAGAAAAATAATCCATCTCTGTGAGTCCATATAAAGCAGGTGGAAGAAACTTTCAAAACTGACGCTTCAAAAAACGTGTAAAACACACGTGGATGTATCAATAGCTGATTTTCCACTGTTGGGCCAAACAGTTCTCGTTGTTTAACTGTTCCATTCCATGGCAATCTGGCTCAGTCAGTACAGATATGGATTCATTTTCCACTGTGGGGCTGATAACAGAGCTCTTTGGAATGTAATACAGATGTACCTTGGAAACGCAAAGCTTATAATGGTATGAGAAAAGCAAAGCAACTGAGTTATGGAGGAAGATCAGATATTTCTGCTTTCAGGACTCCTTTTTTTGTTTGCTTCGCTCAAATAGTGCACTTGGTCAGCTACTAAGAAACACTGAGAACTGGAGAATTCCAGGCCGAGAACTGTCATTATACATTATATGGACTCACAGAGATGTATTATATTTTATAAAAATGTGTGTTCCACAGATGAAAGAAGGTCATATACATCTGAGACGACAACAGGATGAGTAAATGATAAGAGAATTAAAAAAAAAAACAGCCTTAGGTGGTTTAGTTGGTTTCTTGACCAAGCTAGTGTTTTGATGGTTTAGCTGGTCTCTGGTCAATTCTGATCAGATATCAAGTGCCTAACAGAGAAAACAAAAAAAAAAGAAAAAAAGAGGGAGGTGAACTACAGACATTTTTCTAGACGAGACAAGTGGCTCTGGACAATAGGCCTGGTGCAAGCATAATCCAATTGAACGTGTGATGCTCAAATGGAATATGATGTTCAAAGATCAGAGATGGGCAGTATTTAAATGAAATGTATTTAAAATGTGTATTTAATTACTTTAGAGTATTTTGTAATTTGTATTTTGCTGGAAAAAAAATCGAATGTAAAAAAAAAAAAAAAAATCGAATGTAATTTGTAGTAAGTAGATCATTTTATTCACAGATAATACATTACCTTTCTTCACCTGTGTTAATAGTACTGCCAACTATAGCTTATCACAGTTTTTGGCTAGATGCAAGTGAATCAAATGACATCCTGTTTGATCCATAGGCGGTGTCCTAAAGGGTTAGTTCATCCAAAAAATGAAAATTCTGTTGTTAATTACTCACCCTCTTGTCGTTCCACTCATGTAAGACCTTCATTCATCTTCAGAACATAAATGAAGATATTTTTGATGAAATCCAAGAGCTTTCTGTTCCTCTACAGTCAGTCATGCATCAAGTAATCCATGTTATTAAGTACATCATTAAGCAATCCAATTTTATGAAGCAACGTGAGTGCTTTGTTTGCGAGAAAAAAAAAAACACACTTTATTTATGAAAATATTATCCAAACACGTGCATTTTGGTACTCTAGTGAATATTCACTCATGAGCCTTGTGTTGACGCACAAGTCTTCTATCACATGAACGCAACACAAATGCATTGTGATGCTCTCATGAACACACAATGCAGATCTTTTTTTGGTAACACTTTCTATGAAGCCCATTTAATAATAATAATAATATTTTTTTCTCAAACAGCCATAAGATCAGATATCAGATCAGATGAATGTGTAATATGACACATTTGCTTTGAACTATTTTTACTGTAATATCAGTTTGATTATTTTGACGGTACCCTTTAGACAGCTGTTTATAAGTAACTCTGCAACTACATGTCAACTAGCAGTCATTGGA